AATTTGAAATAAAAAATATGGAGGATTTAAGTTTACAGAAAATTAATAAAAAAATGAATGATTGAAAATTACAATATTATATGGATAAAATATGGTCAGCTATTTATTGCCAGAAAATAAAATAAGTAAAATCAAATTTAAACTGTATGAAATCAAAGGTTAAACGTTGAAAGGATAAAGGAGATATAACTGAAATCCTCAAATTTATAATTTATATAACCCGGATGAAAAATTGATCAATTTTTGACATCATAGGTACTTACCCAATAATTTTAAATTTAGAACATATTGTCCAACCTTGACCTCAGTTCAAATTAATGATTATGATTAATAAAAGATAAAATTTAAGTACATTATTTAAATATGACGGTACTAGAAGTAAAGCAAAGATAAACCCATAATAAATTCGATAAATAAAAAATCAGAAATTAAATAATAAAGTTTACTCCGGTTTTAAATATTCAAAAGTAGTGTCGGTAAAAATTTAATCAATAATGGTAATTGATAATAAAATAGATTTCATAGAAAAAGGTAGTAGAAGCTATAATTAAAACTCTATATAAGCCTCAATTCCAACAAGAATTTGGAGTACGGTAGTCGGTAGCCATTCATTTTTGGTCACTGGACGAGGGAAGTTGCAATTGGAAGTTGCAGATTCTAGCTTAGAATCGAGGTTGATAGAGGTTAGAAGTTCAGTTTTCTTTGTCAAATGTGGAGGTACAGGTATCGATACGTGAGGGACTCAAAAGCTCTATGCCCAGAGATGGGGCTTGTTCAAAATGAATCCCCTGAGAAAAACAGCTCCCCCGCAGAAACAGCTCCCCAATGAAAACAGCTTCCCGGTAAAAACAGCTCCCCGGTAAAATCCTAAGTAATAGAGACATTATATGAACAACCATTACTTAAAAAAATCAAAAAGGAGTTACCACGAGGTGAGTAAGAAATAAATCGGTAATCACGAGACTTTTCGAATGTTATACCACAAGAGGTTTCAGGATTACCGGATAATACTTTTACCTGTCACGAAACGCATTACGCAACAACACCACGACTCCGAAGGAGTGGTGTTGCTGGTAACGCGTTGAGTGTCAGGTAAAAGTATTAGGTAATCCTGAAACATCGAGTGGTATTCAAAGGGTTATATAACGGACTCAACTTTAATACACCAAGCACGATAATCCCAAAAGACTTATCACTTATTCAGCCTCTCATGTCATATGGGAATAATGTACAGCGAGTTGTATATTCACTTAAATTTTTTCGGGAATCAATGGATTATTGCCTTACGCAACTTTATTTCTTTGACGACCAATAAGGTACTTTTTCGCTGACGGCCAATAAACTACTTTTTCTGCGAGAACGGTGATCGATATTATATTCCACTTAGGAAGATGGCTGTCGCCCTAGGCCACAGTCGACCTTTCACGGCAACCGCCAGATTACAAAAAGAGACTAAGAAAAGGACAAAAATGAACAGGCAGAGCTTGTCTTCGAATAGCCAGCGGAAAATGGTACTAAACCGGTACTTAAAATTTAAACGGAAAGCGTTGCTATTATTTTTTTCAACAGAAATCTTTTTTTTTTTTAATGCTAGTCACCAGACTGTCAACATTAAGAGGGTCGTCAGATAGGAGCCAGCGCGCCATCTTTTGGGCTTTATGACATACATTAAATAATTTTTAATCTTAGGTGTTCAAGTTCTCTGTAAGGGATTGACTTATTTACAAGTAGTTGGCGACATCTTCAATATCAATTCGTTTACAGAGTAATTTACAGTGGACTAAATAATTTTATTCAGTTGCAAATGAAATAATAGTATTTCACATTTTTAGCTAGGTAAAACAGTTTTTACTGGCGTTTGAAAGAAGTGGCTACCCTTCCCGAACTCAGCGAAATCTTTAAGAGAAGCGCTGAACACACGTTTGGTTTGATTCTCTGCTGAAAATGACAGCAATCACCTGCTTTTTTGGCAGATTTTGATTAATTTTGGAATAAAAACATCATACATTTTCGGCAATTCTGTTTTTTCATTTATTCCAACATTATATGATCCGAAATTTTGGAAATTTATTGTTGATGTGCTACTCTAGGTATTCGTCCTTTTTTCATTTAAATTCATGACTAAAATTTGCATATTGTTGTCGAAAAAATTGTCAATAATTTTACTATTTAGACTGCGTATTTTGCAACCAAAAATGCGTCGACTCTTACTCCAATCTATTATTGTTATGAACATAACTTCATTTTACTGAAAAGTGGTCCAAATTTGGAATAGAACAGAAGTTTGTGAAGGTCTGTAAATGACATTTTATTTAAACGCCCCTCTTAAAGGTAATATTTAACTTATAAAATTATATTTGAAAGAAAAAAAAAAAAAAAAAACAAGTAACATTTGCAATGTTACAACAGAAAAAAACTGAAACCATGCTCAAAAATTCACTAAGAACCATCCAACACGTCCTTTAATTTTGATATTTGTGCGTTCAAAAATTTAAATAATGTTTCTCGATAAGGCTGATTTGAATTGGACATATCCCCTACGCCTTTTAAATTGAAATTTCAAAATCCTTACCCATACTAATGAATAATGATATAACCTATAGTCAGCTAAATTTATTTGGTGGGCAAAAGCAAATACCCTGTTTTTTCCGAGTTTCAAAGATTTATAAAAAGCAACATTTTTCTCGAATGCGGATGTTTCAACATTATAAAACACGCTTCGTAATAATTCCACTTTACCTTTATTTGTAAATAAAAAATGTGCCGTTTTGGCACACTTTTCAGCCCAATAAACCCTTTTAATTTTATTGCTTTTGGGAAGGGGCCCCAAAGCGCGCATTTTTATAGATTTGCCATCGCCCAGCGTGCATTTACTCACATGCTTTGCCTTTTTAAAATTTTAATATGCCAGTAAAAGCCATTCGTATTTCATTGGAAACTGCTCGCGTTTTCCCGCTCCGACCGTCGGCCGTTTTATACAATATTCAGATAATGCGCGCCATTTTGTTTATGCTAAGTGTAGAGCACTTAAGGAAATATAATCGTAGATTAGCTAGCAAGTTGCTTCCACTTGAAGTACCTAATGTATCCATATAACAAAGTGGTTAACTACGATCAACACTTCCTTAATATAAAATACGAGCAAACGTAGACTTTTAAGTCTAAGAAATTATTTAAGCCAGTTAGGATTATCCCGTTGTTTAGGTTTTGTTTTATACAGAACCCTCAGAAATAAGATTAAAAGGCCCGTTGCAAAACCAATATGTTTATAAATATGATACAAGGTTAACAATATGTATAGAAACGGTCTTATATTTTTCAAAGACTTCAATTCGATCCAGAAAAAAGTCCTGGAGTAGAACAAATCTTTAACGAGCTCCCAACAAAATGCTAATGGGGATGAACGAATTCTAAGCTAGAAATGAGCTTTGAGTTACCTGCCGACTCAATCGGTTCCCAGTCACTCGACGATCACTGCAACTTAGAAAATTTCCTTCAGTTTTAAGAACACGTTCCATTTTATTTTGCCTAGATAAAAGCTGGTAATTTTTATAAGTATGTAAATCTTTTCAAAAACAATTTAGTTACGGCGATCGGCTTAATTGGCGCAGTCGGTAGAATAGTACTCTTACCCATCCCATCGCGTCGGTTCCCATCCTATCGCGTCGGTTCCAACTTCAACAAGTGCTATTCAGATCTACATTTCACATCCAAAAACATCCAAGCAAGAAGTTGAAATGGAGAAAGGACGAAAAATCACATAACAACTGTGAGTATTTTTTCTATCTCTTGTCAGGTTTTAAATTGAATTTTAATTTAAAAAGTCGGTTCCGGTTTGGTTCGCGGGTAACCGTGATTCCGGCCGCACCTTCAGTGGGCAAGTGAAAAGTTGTTTTGCGGTTAATATTTATTTTTAAATTTAACCTGTGTGCTACCAAGGGGGTACATTGTGTACCCCACACGCACTAAATTGCATGTATTTGAAAGAAATATTTTTCAAATGTATTGTGCTTTTATCATAGCCATTAATAATACTTTGGTGAACTAATAACATCATAGTCAGTCATTTACAATTCAAAAAATTCAAATTATAATTAATTTTGATGGCTGGGGTATAATTTGTACCCCGCCTGGGGTTTGATGCCTTTTGCTTTGCCATATGGATTCATGTGTAGTTCCCGATGAAATCACACGTGTTTATAACCTCAACTGATGTGCATGTTTTTGTTTTACTAATCATTATATTTTGCGGTTTGTGTAGATTTGTGCTCCTTAGAAATGGCCATTTCTGTAAAAATCATGGCCATCAAAGAAAAATTAATGCAACAAGTGCGATGGAAATGGAAATTTAAATTGAAAATCTAATGTGTTTTATAAAAATAACATTATTTTGAAGAAAATGTCCACAAATATTTTGTATTTTTTTATGTGTACCAGGATTTTCCCCTCCAAACTTAACAAAAACACAAGGGGTACAATTTGTACCCCATTGGTACTCCGCGTTTGTTCAGAACCTTGATAGCACAAAGGTTAACACTTAAAATATGGACATTGTTTGATTTGCTCTAATAAAAAGTAAAATCTTGCCTAACAAAAGAGTTTAATTTGATTTTTTTAACATTCTTTTTTGCCTCTTTTGTCGAAATCGGAATAGTTGAGACTGTGTATCCCATCAAAGTTCCAATATAAAAAATGCCAATCAAATAGAGCAGCTCCACGCAATTCTGTATATTTAAATGCTTTAGAAACCAATTCAGTCACACATAATTCTGTCGATATAAATGATATACCTATTACGAGACAATTACCTAAATAATCCAGACAAGTAACATAAATAAATGATTCAGAAATTTCAAAATTCTTCAAAAATCATAGGCATTATCAGACCTCAATCTCTACAATATTTCCATTTCATAATTATTAGATATACCATTGCAATTTGCAATATTATGGAAAAAAATTACAACTAAAGTTGTTAATTATTAGTGTTCAGTACTTACACGAAGAAGATCCTTTGTTTTAACAATTGACAGTTGGAGCAATAATATCAGGACAATACTTTGCAATGAGATTTTCAACATAAACCTAAAAAAAAATAAGAAGAACATTTAAATTACTTTTTTTGCAAATACCAGCAAGAACTGGAAAATAAAAGAAAGATCAGGACCTCTAAGCCCTTAAAAAAAATAAATACGTATTTTGCGAAGCCCTCTTTATTCTAATAATTATTATTCCCATTTTAATCAACATCGTGATGATATCTGCATAAAAACGTCATTTTTCTTGAACAGTCTTTTAATCTTGTGCCAATAGCCGCGAGCGAAATTATGATGAGAATGGTTTTCTCGCCTTTCACCGTCTGAAAATAATATAGAGAAAGCCATTGTGTTTAGCGGTGGATCCCTTTTGACAGTCCCACAGTCAGCGTTTCGAAAAAATATGTTTCAGATTTTCCTTTAATGCATATCGCTCTCAGGGCGTTTTTAATGTGTCATATTATTCTTTGAGGGCGACAGTATTGTCTGCTCCTTCTTCCTGCCCGTTTCATGCAAATATTTCGTAACGTGTCTCTTTTCGCAGACTCAAAAACGCTAAGGCAATTTTATAATCAAATATGTACTATTAACTGCTGCATTAACTGAAAAAACGATTCTCTTCATTTTTTGCAAAGTATAAAGGGTCTTTTATCTTTTGTAATGCATTGTTATCTGGAGTGACTGAGAAACACTTTTCAAATACGCATGTTGTTTTAAATACCAAAACCAAATAAACAGACTTTGAGAGTTGGTCCAAAGTCCCCCTTTTTTTTAGCTGAATCGCAAAAAAACCCAAATTAATTTTTTCTCATTTTTCTATGGCTTTTTCAACCCTAACTTTTTTTTTTCAAATAATCTAATCTAAGTCGAGAAGAGGCTCATTAGAAAATTGAAGAAGTTAAATGTTTATATCTCAAGTGGAGTTGGAATTTAATTCAAAAGAAAAACTCAAAGTCTTCCTCCACAAATACTTTAATCGTTTTGAAAGGACCTACATGTTTCGGGATTAGTAAATTTCATCATCATGGGCAATAAATTAGCTCATATGTTACCAAGGATGGATATCATAGGCTGCTAGATCATGCTACAAAAAATTAAATGGTATTGGAAAATGTTGGGAACTCGGATTTCATGCTGCAGAAAATATGTCATTGACTATTGCTATTTATAGGTATGGGTTTTTCAAAAGTTCCGCATATTATATTTAGTCACAATTTTGTTTTTAGCAAAATTGATCGACATTTTCCTATTTTTTTACATACCGTGCAACCCTCTTTGTTAATATACTCAGTTTGCTCAGCGAATAATTATTAGGGATGGGTCAATAAGCTAGTTCATTGAAATTTCATCAACCACGTTTTCTCAGATTTTCATAGAGTATTACTGACATATAACACAACATGAAAAAAATTCCAGCTCAATTGGGTGAATATTAAAGAAGTTATGCGTCTTTAAAAATTAAAATATTTATGCCTTGGAAATTCATTGCCGTGACGTCATACCCTTTCTCGAGTCGGGACAGGCTAAAAGCCGCCACACACGGTTTTGCATAACACAATGTCAACTGATTTAATGCTGACAGTTTGGCACACAGTGTGCGGACTATGCAATATTTATAATTTTTCTTTTTGTTTGCTACTTCCATTATTGTGCTCATAAAATATTGAAAGTTGAAAGGAAAGGAATTATTCAAATATACGTAATATGATTCGATAGAAAAACATCCAGTTCTACCAGATACAAAAAATACCAAAATGAACCTTGTTTAAACAAGGCGAAACTAGAACTTGTCAAAACAATGATAGTATTGTCGTAGTGACCGCCGTATCAGCACTACGACGACCAAGGTGAGAGATGCAGTGAGGTCACGGCGTGTTTAAAATTTGGAGAGTTTTGATAATTTATTTAAATATGAACAAGGGGTCGTAAAATTATGAAATTTTACTAAACTCAGCACGATCTTTTAGAATATGTAATAAAAAATATATGAATAGAGGGAATAGGCTCGTACACCTATTCTGAAAAGGAAAAAAATAAGGTATACAACTCATCCAAATCTTGACATAAGTAAAGCAAAATCATAAAACACTCGAGAAATTTTGAAATCAAAATAGTTTATATTTTCACAGTGAGGTTGAAGATCAAGAATTAAATAATTTTTAAAAGATAAAATCAATTGTTGGTAGAACACTTCAAATAAAATCAATAAATAGAGGTTAACTAAATCAGATTGATCAAATTCCAAAAAAAGTAATACTAGAATGTACCTCAATATACTTGCCACATGAGTTTATTAAGAGTCGCTAGCCATATCATCATCATGAAATGAAAATATAAAAGATTTAAGTTTCCAGAAAACTAATTAAAAAAAATAATGATTGAAAATTGTATTCAAAAATATGATCAGCTTCTGCTTAAAGAATAAATTTAATAAAATCCATATGCCCCTATATGAAATCGAAAGCAATTTTCGACGATGTAGGTACTTACTCAATAATTTTTAAGTTAGAACATATTGTCCAACTTTGACTTCAGTTCAGAATATTTATTATGAATAATAACATTTACATTCCTAAAGCATGGCAGTATTTAAAGTTAGGTAAAGATAAATCTATATATATACAGGGTGTCCCACGGTGGATGGCGTATTAGACGTTTATGGAGAACTGAAAAAACAGATCATTTTGAAAATTTGGCTACTGGGATAAACGACCATAACCTAAACTTTAAAAATATTTTTGTTTATGCGGTGTTGCCACTTCTGCTCTAAACCAGTGGCAACATCGCTATTTCAAATGGAACACCCTGTATGTGATTGCATATTTGGATTCTACATAAAATTCTGAGCAGATTTCATGTGATATACCCTATTTGAAAATTGACTTTTTGCAACTTTGACAGGCTGTAAAGCCTGAACGGTTAATTTTAGAGGAAAACCGATTTTACATTCCCATCTTAGATTTTTATAAACTATCATTTGACACCAACTGTGAATTTAATCCATGATGAAAATTTCCAACTAAATTTAATCTCCGGTTATATTCAAAGTTGGTGTCAAATGATAGTTTATGAAAATCTAAGAGGAATGTGAAATCGGTTTTCCTCTAAAATTAACCATTTAGGTTTTACAGCCTGTCAAAGTTGCAAAAAGTAAATTTTCAACTGTTGATATTTCCAAAACAGTTGCACTTAGGTATAGGGTATATCCCATGAAATCTGCTCAGAATTAAGCGTAGAATCCAAATATGCAATCACATACAGGGTGTTCCATTTAAAATAGCGATGGTGCCACTGGTTTAGAGTAGAAGCGGCAACACCGCATAAACAAAAATATTTTTAAAGTGTAGATTATGGTCGTTTATCCTGGTTGCCAAATTTTCAAAATGATCTGCTTTTTAGTTCTCCATAAACGTCTAATACGCCATCCACCGTGGGACACCCTGTATAAACGTGAAATTCACTCACTCACTGACTGACTGATTAAACACGAAATCTCGAAAACTACTAAACCAATCGAGATGAAATTTTGCAAACAGGTAGGTAATAGGTCGGAGATGCTCACTAATCGCCTTAAGTAACCAAAAATAAGAAACGGTGTGGTGCGGGCGGAAGTGCGGGGAAAAAAGTGTAAACAGAAACAGACGACGTGTCAGCTGTCAAATTCAGAAATAAGACAAGCAGAATCAAATTCATAGCGATTTCCATTTGCAGAATCAGTGTAAAAAAAAATGTTTTTGTCGTTATATTTTCATGCTTTCACCAGAAACGATTCGGAACCGATTCTGATCAAATTCCACCGGTCCCAGGCTAAGCTAACTTCAAGTTTGAGACATGACATTCGCAATTCGTTCACGTATTCGACAGTCTGGAGCAAGGTTCTGGAGTTTTTGTTCGGTTCCAAAACTGTTCGCGATAAAATAGGAACCCATTCACAAGTTGGGTTCGGGTTTCTCACTCCGAGTTACTCCGATCGCACTCCAGCCGTTATCTGATGAAGGTAATATCCGAACGGCTGAAGTGCGAATGGAATCACTCGAAGTGCACGGAGTGAGCAAGCCGAACCCAGCTATAACTGGGCATGCGCTCTACGATAGTCCTCAATTAGTTCCGGACTGGTTCGGAATCGGTTCAAAATATGATCCGCGAACAAAGCTATTAGCAGCGAGTGGCAGTTCAAAAAAATTTAACGTCAGCTGTCAAAAAATAGTCTTCATAAGTTGTATTCCTTTCACACCTAGGGGGAGCTCCGGAACAGCTCCGGGGCTTCACGCGCTTATTCCTTTCGAAAAGTGTTTGTTGCACCAAAGGTTGCACCACGCATCTGTTCCTTGCAAATCGGGGGCGACTGAATACCGGAGCGAGTAGCTCGAGTGCTTCAAACTCTTGAAAGGAATACAACTATATTCTGCAGCCACAAAGCAGCACAAAAAATGTGGTTTACAGAGAGGTGCTGCAAAAATAAGAGTTACATGACCATATGTCTGACGCAAGTATCCCCTTAGCTCTTTGAAAGAAGATTACCTAATGCTACCTACACCCTACACCTACAAAATTTGTATAGGGCGTGCGAAGCCGTGGGCAACAGCTAGTCTATAATAAATTCGATAAATCGAAAATCCAGAAAATCAATTGTTCCACCATCATCTTGTGGTGCCCATATAGGGCACACCCTGTATAATTAGTATTAACTGTAATTGCTAAACCAATATAATATTAATGTGCTGAATAAGCAGGTCACACTGACCCAGTTGGTAATGCAACACATATTTTGACAACGAATCTAATACAGAACTTCTAAGCAACAACACGTCTTTTATTAAGTCCTCGGATGAACGATCCTGCGGGTTACCCAATATCCAAAGGGTTATAGTAGAAACCCATTACATGGCGATCCTCCCAGGATCGCCATGTTAATAAACCATAATAAACCATAAACCAATATAATATTAATGTGCTGAATAAGCAGGTCATGCTGACCCAGTTGGTAATCCAACACATATTTTGACAACGAATCTAATACAGAACTTCTAAGCAACAACACGTCTTTTA